ATTTTGGCCTACAGACCAAGGGGGTGTGGTTCATCAAGGCACACATAAGAGCAGGCGGCAGTGGGTCACATCGTACCACGTGAGCGCTGACGCTCAGCTTGCTTTCTCCTTTTGATTCAGCCAGGGAGCCGTTCTCCAGGTCGTTAGCACCCATACGGGCTGATCCTCTATCTCCATTACCCAAGTCTAGATGCTCTTTCTCAGACATGCTCAGAGATTTGTTTCCTGGGAGATTCTAGATTCCCATCGAGTTGATCATATAAACATCACACCCTGTTTGGACTGCTCTAACAAAATAACATAAGCCAGCTAGCTAACTTATGGACAGCAGACCAGAATCACCGCTCTTGAGGCTACAAAGCCTAAGGTCAAGGCACCAACTAGCAGGTTCAGTGTCTAAAGAGGCCATGGTCTTGCTCCCAGAGGATGCTTTTTGTGTATGTCCTTATATGGTGGAAAAGGTGAAGTGAGTCACCAAGCCTACGTCAACCAGAGTCCTAGTGTCCTAACGGCACCCAATGACAGAACCCTTAGGACCCATCCACCGCGAATCCCTCCCTCTGCTATCTTTCAAGGACTAGGATTTAACATGAGTTTTAGTGGAGTATAAACACTCAGACCTAATACTTGAGAAAATAATAGTAGAGGCAAGTGTAAAAAGAGGCTATGGGTCATTTTTACAATACATTCAAGGTATGGGAAGGGGCTCTTGGAACTGGAGAGATGGCTCAGCAGCTTGGAGCACTCACTGCTCTTGCAAAGGACCTAGGTATTGTTTCCAGCACCCGTGTCATACAGATAACAGCGTGCAACCCCAATTCCAGAGGACCCAGTGCCCTCTTCTAGACTCCAAAAGTACCTGTGCTCACATGTATCCATAAACACACATGCTCATGTGCACGCACTCCAACAAACACACACACACATTTAAAAAAAAAAAGAGTTGAAACTTCCATTTTGAAAATCCAAACTTCAGATGTTGAGGATGAGAAACATTTCTTTTTCCATCTCTGAACTTTTGGATGTTTAAATGTGGGGCATGAATATAAGCATGACAGGTGGGGAGCACAGGGGGAGCTTTCAGAAAGATCTTGTTAAACACCAGTCCAGTTGTTAAACTGGACAAAAGTTCTGATGTTCCCTGACTTAGCCCTTCCCTCACCCATCTGCATTGTGAGAAGCTGGAAGTCCACAAAAAAGATTGTGAGGTTTCATTCTACATGGCCCTCGTTCAAAGCAAGCAATAGCTAAAACACAATATCCTGAATTAGACATAGATTAATTACAAGGAAAGGAGAAAACGAAGAGGGTCAATATTTATTCAGTATCGTCTGTTTGCCAAGAACGATACCGGGTACTCTACACACATGAATTAACCTTTGCAGTGAGTTAACCTTTATGGTGACATTAACCCTAAAGTAGTCCTCAGAATGACTTCCTTATAGAGATAAATGTACTGAGGCTTAGAGAGATTAAACCAATTGTCAATTATCACAGTTACCATAAGACAGAACCAGGCCAACCTAGGACACAGGTCCTATGTCAGGGCCTCCTCTCTTCCCCCACCCTCTCTTTCCCCCCTCTCTCTTTCTCACTCTGCTCTCTGTCTCTATCTCTCTGTCTCTCTCACTCTGCTCTCTGTCTCTCTGTCTCTGTCTCTTTGTCTCTCTCTGTCTCTCTCTCTCACTCTCTCTCTCTGTGTATGTGTGTGTATTATAGAGGCACTGGATAGTGAACATAAGAATCTTGCATATGTTGGAAAATTGTTCTACCTCTGGACTATGCTGCAAACTCCAGTACTCCCTTCCACAAGTCTCTCTGTTCTAAAACTCTTGGATTAGAAAGCGGGGTGATAGAAGCCTGTAGCCCTGGGGAAGCAGGTTGAAATCAAACCCTTTATATAAAGTAATAGACAAGGCCTAACAAATGAAGTACTCACTATGCCCTACTTGGAATCTATACTGACCCTTAATGAAGTATGAACATCAGCTGTGAAGGCGGTAACTATGCTGTGTTCATTGGAAGAACGCTGAGGATGGAAGAGGGCACACCAGGAGCTCGGATAAAGGTTTCCTACAGATGGGTTCATGGTGAAAGCTCACCCAAAGCTAGAGACAGCTGGACTGAGGGGATGAGAAGCCAGTCCAGCACTGAGTGAGTAGAAGGCAACTGGCAGAATGACAGTATCTGCCTGGAGAAGAGTGAGCCAAGTATAGCAGAGGATGCCAAGGCCACAGGATGCTGTGGCCTTGTAAGATAGTCAAGGGGCTGGGGATGGCTCGGTCAGCAAAGCGCTTGGCTCTTAAGCATGAACACCTGAGGTCTAACCCCAGAAGCCACTTAAAAGGCTGAGTACGTCAGCACATATTTGTAAGCTCTCTGCTGGGGAGACAGAGATGGGGACCAATGACAATCCAAACTAGATGCTTAGTGAAAGGATGGCCCTTGAGCAATGACAGTCAGTGTTGACCTCTGCCTCCATATACACATGCACATGTATGCACAAACACAGCACATGGACACACACATACACCACAATTCCACTACAACTTAAAAAAGTCCTGGCTACTCCCCTACTTACCCTGGAAATGAGTGTTGTGTTATACTGTTGGGATCCATTACAATGAAGATGGGATCCAAATGAGTATGTCTAAATTAATAACTCACCACCCGCATTGTCTGGGAAAGTGAGTTTTCTAGGGAACTGAAGCTTAGAATTCTTAAGCATTAAACTTTTGAAAAGTTTAGTCATTTTCATGGAAACCATAATAAAGCGAAATCCCTGTCTGCTCAGCCTCATTAAACAGAATACATTGAACATCACTTAAGCAGTTCTTGATGGCTGTGAGGCCTTGCTGTGAGCATCAGCCACTACTGGGCAGTGGCGTAATATGCCCTTAGGCGCTGGGGAAACATACAGGGCTTATTTGCACCCCTGCAACCATCTTTCCTGCACTCAGAGGTGGGAGCTGCCAGCCTCCCAGGATCTCGGCGGTGGCTTCTCTCAGCCACAGCCTGTCTGCACTGCTCTCTGCTTGCACCATGTAGCTCTCCTAACGAACAGATCACGGTAACCTTCTCATGAAACAACAGCTGCTGTGGAAATAAAATCAGCTAACTCCTAAAACTGCCTCTGTCTAGATCTGTAGTCCTCTACCACCAAGTTAAGATATAATGGCTGAGAAGTAAGCTCGGGCTTAGGCCCTAAATTAACCACGTGGACTGACAGCGAATTCCCTTGGGATGTAGATGTCCTCTGTATCGGTGCTCACCTGCACTACAGCTGGATACTGCGCGTTTCTGATCTTCACAGTCTGACTGTGGGTGGACGGGGGACATTGTTAACCTTAGCAGGTTTGTCCTTCGTTCTCCAAGATGATGTCACTCGGCACTCTGGTCTCATCCTATTATTTCAGAATTATTTGTCTACAGAGAAGACACAGGAAGGTGGACTCTCCTGTTTGAATAGCTTGTCCTTTAACAAGCTCCAGAGTGCAGAGGCTTGTAATTAGACACGCGAGCAGTCTCTCTCTCTCTCTCAGTAGGAAATAGTCCTAGGCTGGGCAGGTTGCGCCAGGACTCCCTCCTGTTTGCGGGGTCTCAGGGGAAAGAGCTTGGCCTTTTCCCCATGTCTTCTCCCAGGACCCAGCTGAAAAACAAACTTGTTGCAAAGGTGGCCAAGAGAAAATGAATCACATTGTGAAACAACATCAAAACTCCTACTTGGGCTGGCAAGATGGCTCAGTGGATAAAGGCACTAGCTGCCAAGCCTGAAGATGTGAGTTCAATCCTCAGTATCCACATGGTGGAAGGAGAGAACCAGCTCTAGCTAGTTGTCCCCTGACTTCAGCATGTATGCTGTGGCACATGTGTGCACGTAAGTAAATACATAAAGATAACTTCAATCATTTAAATCTTCCGCTTGCGTCATGTTTGTTAATGTTCCCACATCCAAAGTCAATGACAACATCAAAGGCAAATTTAAGAAAGAAAGAAAAAACAGCTTCTGGATCTCAATGGGAAAGTCTACAGAGTCAATGCAAAGGGCGTGCATACAGGGTAGGAGGACTGTCTTAAGATTCTCTAGAGGATCACAACCAATAAAAAGGGCTGTGTTATATTGTCTAGGTAGTTCAACAGCCACTGTGTGCACACCAGAGAAGCTGACAACCCATAGATGATCAGCCTACCAGGGAGGCTGGCTCAGCAGTCCTAATCTAGAACTGATGGTCTAGCGGGTTCTGGACAGCTGTTGGTCTTCAATCCACATCAGAAGCCCCAAATATCTGGGTTCCAGTGTCAGTGAAGGATGGCAGCAGGAGCAGCAACAAACGAGATGCACTCACCAGCAAGACATGAAAGCAGGCAGGCAAAGCCAGCACTGCTTTACCTTGGAACTCTTCACACACGGGCTGCCACTTGAAGGTGCTACCCATTCTGAAGTAGAGTGTTCTCCCCATCAGTTAATTCTTCCAGGAAATATGTTCGCAAGCCCTGCACACAGAGGGGTGTGCCTCCTAGTTGATGCTGTATGCAATCAACCTGACAACAAGTTTAACACTCACAAGAGCGTGCACATTTCTCAACCTACCACACCCACATACATGCATCGCATCTCAGCATGGGTGCACCCGGGAAACTGATCTCATTTAATCCACGAAGCTAAAGTTTATCTTCTCATCAGAGCTACAGGGGGCTGAATAAGGAGGGGGAGGGAGATGGTGGCTTCAAGAAAAGCATCTCTACTTCCTTACCCTGGATTCACTTTGTAATTCTGTTTTGTTTCTTTGTTTTAAAGGTTAAGGGTAGCTCTACTAGAAAAATGAAGATGGCTGAATGCCGTCTTGAACAAAGTTACTGAAGAAGGGATCCAAAGAGTCCCCTCTTGATGTCCTTGAACATGGTCTCCATTTCTATGCACCGTGTTCTTCCTTGGACCTAGAAAAGATGAACCCCCATCTCAGCAGTGGTGATTCTCTGCTCCCACGTGCGGGCACTGACAACCTCTTGGAACAGACTTTCTTTGTCCACCCCAGCTAGCCTCAGTAAGTCCACCTTCTCAGGCTCTGGGGTTATGACAGGAAGTAATTGGAGCCACTTTCTAGTTTTCACAAGCTGATTTCTGTAACAACTACCCTAGGTAACTGTCTTTAACTAGCTGTATCCCTAGAATGAAAGGTATCTTCTCAGTCATTGGCAGGAACTGGGAGCTTTGCCCTGTGGTTGTTATACACCCACACACACGAATGTTCACACACACACACACACACACACACACACACACACACACGTACACAGGCACGTGCACGCACAAAACCTGAAACTGACTTCTTTCAGTTTCCCTTATATGTCAACACTCTTTGTTCTCTTGTTCATTCAACTGCACGGACTGTTTTTTGTTATTGTTGTTTTGTTTTGTTTTGTTTTCAAAGTTCTGTTCTTCCTTCTGGAATGAAAAGTGAAACTTCAGCCTCATTTGACATTTCTTTCTCACATTATCTCCGTAAACACATCTCTTCCAAAGCTCACGCCTTAGTTAGGGTTTCTATGGCTGTGATAAAACACTATGACTAAAAGCAGCTGTAGCCCATCTTCCAGGGAAGTCAGGACAGGGACTCAAGGCAGGAACTGAAGCAGAGACCATGGAGGAGTGCAGCTTGCTGGCTTCCTATCCCTGACTCGCTTGGCCTGCTTTCTTACAACATCTGGGACCACCAACCCAGGAGTAGCACCACCCACACAGTAAGCTGTGTCCTCCCACATCGATCATCAATCAAGAAAATGCACACAGGCTTGCCTTGCCCACAGGCCAGTATGGCAGGGACATTTTCTTAACTGCAGTTCCCTCTTCTAAAATGACTCTAGTATGTGTGAAAGCTGACATGAAAACCAGCCAGCACAGCTCACAATAAACTCCCGGCAAATAATTTCATGGTCACATTCCCCAGTTCCTAGGTTTCTTCTCAGTGTTCAAATGGCCCAAGAGAATATTTCTACCCAAATATCTAATCTAAGGTTCAGATAAAAACTACCTTGGCTATGCACTGAGAAGATAGTGGCTGGACTGTATGACCCTGTGCTGTCCTCAAAGCTTCTGTTATTTGATTCTATGTTTTCTTACAAATGAAAGAGGTTAGGAAGGTGGAGGGAGGCAGTGTGAGGCTAACATTTGCTAAATGCAAGCTTGATGCAGTCTCCTGGTTAAAGAGGATAGACAGCTTTTATAATTGCTTTCAGAGAACATACATGGGACCAGTCAGAGGCTCACATGGATCTGTAGGGCTTGAATGCCGGAGAGAGACCAGTAACCCAATGACAGGTGCAGTGATACCCAAGGGGATGAAGAATGCATGTGACTGTTTGTTGTAATGAACAAGGAGAGGTCTGGAAGCCTCACATGCCTTTAATAAAGGTATCTTAGGGTTAGCAAAGCAGAAACACTCTTTCCCTGAGAATCCGAGCAATGAAGTGTGGAGAGATGGCTCAGCGATTAAGAACACTTGCTACTCTTGCAAGAAATTGAAGGCCTGGTTTCCAGCACCACACCACCAGCCTGTAATTCCAGTTCCAAAGGATCCGGTGCTCTCTGGTCACCATGGGCACATATATAAACATACAAATAAAATAACTAAATCTGAAAAGAACAGATTCTGATAAATAGGTTACAAAATAAAATGGTGACTCTCCTTTTCTCACCCTAGTCAAAGACCCTTGAGGCCCCCAGAACCCAGAGTAAGCTCCCCAGAACATTTATTGTTTCAGGAGCAGATTTCCTCTGTTGAAAGTGACCATTCTTCTCATTTTGTGACCACATTTCACTCAGTAAAAATGGCGGGTGACCGTGAGAGAATTTACCAAACTCTATGTTCACAGCCAAACTTAATAACCCAGCTTAAGTCTCCTGAGGGGATTCTGGGTAACAATCAGCTCATTGGGCTTGATTTGGGCCAGATTCTAAACGAAGCTAAGAGGGTGCTGATGACTTGGTTCCCTTTCTTTTCAGCGGGATGAGGATTTTTCAGAACACAGTACTCTGGGCACACCAGGCCAGTGCGTTACCGCTGAGCTGCAGCTTCAGCTTTCCTGGCGTGGACCTAACAGTGTTTTCTAGGATAATTTTCACAAGTGGATTCGAGTCTTTCCTTAAACATATAAAATAAAGCTCCCTTTCCTCTGTTGTATTTTCACATTGATAATGTACACAGAAGGTCCCAGAGCCCAGAGTGGAATTAGGATATGACTGAACATAAGCTGGTAAGAATGAACGAAAACCATCCTCTGAGAAGCAACCCATTAGCTTGCCATGTGCCCAAAGTGATATTAGTTTATTTATTATTTTTTTATATTTTTAGTTGGCTTGGATAGGAATCTGTGACTGATGCTGGTTCCTCTTCGCTCCTTTTTGGTTTGTTCATATTGTTGTGAATACTCTTATAAAGCAGCCAGGCCTCTTTATAACGGTATTCTCTGGGGGCTCATTCTAGAAGAACGACATCTAAGAACTGCGTGTCGAATGTGAGTTATCCTGCGTTGTTCATGGCTCTTACCGCCGTGGCCTTCTTATTGTCAGTGTTTGTAAGTACCACGGTTAGCGAATTTGGCTAGAAGCGTTTGAAGCAGATGAGATTTTAGCTCACGCCTTGATAACTGCATTGGCTCAGTCGAAGCGAAAGCCTTATTTTCATTAAAGGGAGCAGACATGCTGAGGAAGAAGGTGCTATTTTTACATAGGGTCTTTTTTTTTTTTCCTACTGAAACCACATGATAACACTCTGCTGTTAAAATGATCTCCAGCATGCTGAGTTAGCTGAAGAAACAATATGCATGTTGCCAAAATCAAGGCGGTACTATTCTGAGCCGCCTCCGCTCCAACCTCCAGCTCTCCTTGGTGGCCATGAAGAGCCCAGGGCAAAGCTGGTAAGAAAGACCATGTCACAGGCAGAACACAGATTACCTACAACCACCAGCGAGATTTCATAATTCTTTCTTGACTATTTGGTTATGATGGACTGCTCTCCATCACTGACATCATGAGAAGTTTTTTTAATTGGATATTTGCATATTACTGATATTTGTTGAGTAGTCATTTTATCACGCACAGTGATTCCCTCTCCCCCGACCCCTCTGTCTAATTCCCTATGTAGAGCAGGGTCTTCTCTAAATTACAGAGATCTGCCTGCCTCTGACCCCTGAGTGCTGGATCTAAAGGTGTGCACCACTGTGCCCTGCCCTAGATACAGTTTTTAAGTAAAGCTAGGATGAAAGAGAAGTCAGGCTAACTTCAGAACTTTACTAGCAGAGGAAGTTTAAGTAGATGCCCTCCTAATTTTTCTTCCTTAAAGCTATTATTACTATCATTTAGATTGTTGTTAATATTATTATAAATGCCACCATGACTGAATATATATGACAGACATTTCACTAAGCAATCTATAAAAAAAAAAAAAAAAAAGTCTTTCTTGGTCCCCATGGAGGTCTCATCCAGTAACGCTTATCTCCATTTGCAGAAGACAGAAGTTAGGCTCAGCTAGGAAGGGAGTGACTGGAGAGTCAATCTTCCACGGGACTGGCTAGCACTAAAGCCTCCATTTCTCTCCAGGCCAGGCTGCAGCTCTGTGTTAATATGGAATCTGGCCCTCCACCACGAAGGGTTGAGCCTTCATTCTCACTATTATTCCATCCCAAGCTTCCAAAAGCACTAATGAGAGCAAGTTAGCACAAACAAACAACAGAAAGATATAGGTCTTCTCTCTGTGGTCTTCAAGCCCTGCATGCAAACCGTCACGGATTTTGCTTCTCTTGTGCTCAAGTGCTGAAAGACTTTCTCTCAGTGCACACCAGAATTTGAGTCAAGTACCTGTTCACAGACAGGCTTGTACTTGACAGAGAAAATAATTGGAGTACCTGTCGAGCAGGCAGATGCTCACGTAGAGGGCGGCTTATTGCTTCTCTGCCCTGTCTCTAAAGCAAAATTGCTTTTGTGGCCTCCATATTCCCCAGGATCCTGTACAGATTCGGATTTGCTGTCAGGAGAACACTACAGCTGCCAGGCTCAGGTAGTCAAAGACTGTAACCACACAAGAGCCAGTTGGAAATATGACAGAATGGGTAGGATGAGATCAACCATGACAATGCCTTAGATTTGAGAAGAAATTAAGGGAATTTGTAGAAAGAGGAAACAAATAATTGTGCAAGGTTCTTCATAAGAAATGAAGAGGTATGGGAAAAATGTAAAGATATTTACTGAGTATTGTTAATACAATCTCAGCTCCAGTCAGTTTTTTCTAAAAAAATTTACAAAGATGTTAACTGATTAATAACGACCTAATATTCAACGCCTTTTGTGAACTATGTTGTTTCCTTGGTAAGACTCGGCCACAAGGCTAATAAACCCCATGAAGGTTATAAGCTGAGGATGGCTGACATTCGCAAATGTATACAAACACACCACACAGTGGTAGAAACAACGAGAGACCCTGCCTCAAACACGATGGGAGGAAGGTGAGAACTGACTTCCAAAACGCTGTCCTCTGACCTCCACACTCATGCCGTAACACACACAGAGATGAAAATAATTTTTAAAAATAAATACGGTTCCAAATAAATAATTGCAATTATATTTCTCTTATCTGTTCTTTTGGCTTTGTGTAATTAACTCTGGGCCAGCTGAGTCTTGGATCAGCCATCAAATTTCAGAAATTTATCAACTTCCAGACTAAAAGGAAACAAAAACAAAAAGCAGAAACCCAAGGCCTGGAAGCCTCCACCTAGTCTTACAATTCAGACTAGAGGTTGTCTAAGGCTGTCAGCTTAGAAGCTCATATTTAGAGATGGGGTGAATTTCTTTAAGTATCAGTTGTCAATAGTACCCAGCATCCAGTTGTGGTAATGGACCCCTTTAATCCCAGCCCTCGGGAGGCAGAAGCAGGTGGATCTCTGAATTCAAAGACAGCCTGGTCTACAGAATGAGAGTCTGTTTCAAATACATCACTGACAATGAGTCTCTGAGACCCTTGTTGAAAGTCTGATGTTTGACTCAGACCTCGCAGCAGAACCTGTGGGCAAGTGAGAAAGACGAGAGACAGGCAAGATGTCGACAGCCCACTACATGGAAGGC